CCTGACCCGGGTCCGAGGATGTCCCACCTTGACTTGGGGCACGTCAGCCCAGCGTGGTGGGCCTGGGGCTCAGGGCTGCCTCGGGGCACCGTGGGTGAGGGGGGCGTGGGCACAGGCTTTCTGAGCCCCTGCTGTGCCTGGCCAGGGTCTTTGGGGTCGGGAGGGGCTGGCAGGGTGGCCGCCTGCCCTGGGAGAGGCCTGGGGGACAGAGCTCGGGCTGTGAGCCTTTGGGACCCTGCCTGGGGCCCTGGGTATGCCCCTGGCTCTGGAGCCACCGGGGCTGCCTCGCCACCCTCCCCGAGTGGGAACTTGCCGGAATGTGGAGCGTGGCGGTGACTCCCCCAGGCCTGCTCGAAATGCTTTCTGCTTTATTGCTGGGCAGTGCCAGGAGCCCCGGTGCCCCCACTTCCAGTGTCAGCAGCCTGTAGTCAGAGATGCCGGGACCCACAGCAGTGAAGCCCTGGGGGCCACAGGGTGCGCCTCGAGTGGGTACGCTAAACCGGGCCCCCAGCACCCTCGGCCACGGCACCCTTCCCCCCAGGACTCTCTCTTTTTTATCCTTATCTGAGGCGGTGTTTATTTTTATTATTATTTTTAATGATTTAAGAGAGAGAGGAAGGGAGAAGGAGATTGAGAGAGAGAAACATCGATCGTTGCCTCCTGTACCCACCGGGAATCGAACCCGAGACCTGTTGGTGTCTGGGATGATGTTCCAACCAATGAGCCACCCGGCCAGGGCCCCAGGGCTCTTGTTAGGCCTGCTCCTGTGGGAGGGGCCTGGGAGGACCCCTTGCCGCCTCACTTGTTTCACGAGGGGCCACAGTGGTGCAGACTGTCGCTGCGGAGCCTGGGACCTGGGCCTGGGGACCAGGGTAGACTCTTGGCACAGTCTCACCCACAATCCAGCAGCCGGTCCTGCGCGGGCTCCTTAATTCTCCCTGAGCCGCCGTGCACACGTGGCTCAGCCCCTTCACACCCGCCACCCATCCGCCCTGGCGACTCCACAGCGTCCGAGCTCAGGCCCCACCCAGCAGCCCGGCAGTGTCACCGGCAGCCTGACCCCAGCTGGGGCTTCCAGGTCCCGCGATTCCTGCTCCCTCAGAGCCGTCACACGGCCTCGCAGACGCTGTGCCGTCACCCGGTGCACAGGCTGGTGTGGAGGGGAGCTGAGGGGCCGCCCTGCGTGACGGACGTGACCTTCTTGCTCCCCTCCCAGGCGGTCACCCCCTGACGGGCAGAGTTTCAGGAGCTTCTCCTTCGAAAAGCTCAGCTTCCTCACGCAGGCTGACACCTCGCAGGCTGACACCTCGCAGGACGACCCGGGTGGGAAGGACTCTGGGAAGGACTCGGATGAAGACTATGAAAAGGCAAGCGGCACCGAGAGCCCCAGCCGGCGAGGGGGGCGCTGCAGGAGGGCTG